AGCATGCTGAGTTTCCTAAAGGTTTTGGTACCTATTTTTCTATAACCTTTGAAGGTCCTTTTCCTTTTCTTTTCCACACAACATATTATTTGAATAGTTCAAGTGTCCTGCATGTATTTCTACGATTTTCTTAGCCACAGGCAACTCCTGTAATGAGAAGTAGATATCTGATCCTATTTGGCAGGTTAAACCATGGTGTAGGGCAAGGCTGTCTCCTTTTCTGTTCTATCTACATTATACAGTTTGCTCCTTTGGTTTTTGAAAACATGCGGGTCTTCTCAAAGATCTTCCTCCTTTGTTCTCTATATTTATAAATGTAAACACTACATAAACACTACATAATTTCCCCAAGTGACTAAATCACCCCCAAATCACCTAAAAATAATTTCAAAAGTGCAAATGAACCAGAGATAGTGATATTGAGCCACTGATAGGATAGTAGGAGGAAGAATAGCGAAGGGAGGCTTTGTTTCCAAATAAACATATACACTCACTGATATGAGTAGGACCCACTTCCTATTTTCCTAAGGGCCTGAGGGGGTGACCCAGAACTCTTATCTCAGCTTCCTCATCTCCCCATGGAGATAATTGTACCTGTTGCAACCTTTCCTCATGATGCAAAAAGATGACTAGATCAGTGTTTGTGAACCAGTTTGAGCTCTTTGTTAGAATGATGTCAGGTTTATAGTCAGCAAGGTGTAAAACTGGATGTTCAGGTGAGTAATTACAGGGAGCCATACAGTTCTCAAAGGCAGGGTCAAAACTCTTTGTACATCAGGTATTGCAATAACTGGGAAGAAGACATCTTAGTGTTAACTACTCCTGACTTATTTAAAAGCCTGGAATTCTTTAACATACCTCTACTGATATAACATACCAACATCAAATATGACAAATCCCTTTTTGGTCAGATAGAATAAGCACACAGGTGTCTAAGATTAGCTAACAGGAAAGGGAAAAAAACCCTAAAATTCTAAATTTCTAAATTTATATTTAATGTGAACAGGTGCTCTTGAAGATCATCAGCAGTATACTGAAACTAAGAGAATCAATGAGAGAGGAGGAGCGATGAACAGGACTGATGAAAAGATAGAACAAATAGGAAGTTTTAAAAGTAAACTGAAGAGAGGAAATGACTCAGCCACCGTTCCAGGAGGGAGTTCCAGTTAGGTGAGTTGTAGGTGATAATACTCCCTGGGAAAGCTCATTACATACAAAGAACGAGATTCTAGGAACTCACTGCAGAGTGTCCTCAGGAGTCATGGACACAACGTACAATGACAACAATGTAAAAAATATTCTCATAGAGGAGAAAATCTTGGCATCTTTCTCTTTTAATACTCAGGGTATAAAGTCAATTATAAAAAACAAAACAAAATAAAAAAAGAACTCAGGGCAGTTTCGGTCACTGAACCTTGAAATGGCTGGTATAATGGCAGCAAAGACTAAAACTACAAAAAAAATTGCGGTGAAGGAAAAATATACCTATTATTCTAAATTTCAGTTATTCATCATTTTGTAGAGACTGCAGTATAACAGACACTGGGGGTACAGTTGCAAATAGCTGGGTATAGAGGGGTATGGGTCCTACCTCTCTAACAGGCTGCAAGGCTGCAGATACATGGCTGTGATCTGGGAAGAACATGGCCAAGGACTGCATTATTGGCATTTATAAAACCATGGTGAAAGTGAGTGTAGACATGCTCAAATGGAATTCTTCAAATAGGGAGTACTTCAAAATTTTTTTTAAAAGATTTTATTTATTTATTTGAGAGAGAGAGAGAGGCAGAAGGAGAGGGAAAAGCAGGCTCCTCACTGAGCAGGGAGCCTGATGTAGGGCTTGATCCCAAGACCCTGGGATCATGACCCGAGTTGAAGGCAAAGAATACTCAAACTGAGTTTTGAATGAAGAAGGGAAGGAAAGCGAATGGGGTAGAACATGTGCTAAATTCTCATGAAATGAAACAGCATTATGCTCTTGCGGAACCAAAATCAGTGCAGCTTGCCTGGAGAGAAGAATGGATGCCATCTTGGTGTGATGATAGACTAGGTGATAGGGAGGATCTAGAATTTGAAGGATCTTTATATGCTATGCTAAAATTGGGGCTTTATTCTAAATCTGGTGATCACCAAAATATTTGTTTAAAGATTAATTTATTAGAGAGAGAGAGGAAGAGAGAACACACAGGGGGAGGGGTAGAGGGAGAGACAATCTCCAGCAGACTCTGTGCAGTGTGCAGAGCTCCACATGGGCTCAATCTCATGACCCTGAGATCATGACCTGAGTCCAAACCAAGAGTCGAACGCTTAACTGACTGGGCCACCCAGGCCTCCCATCACTAAAATATTTTAAGCAAGGAACAATAGAATCAAATCTGCCTTTTGAAGATCACTCTGGCATCAGTGGTAGAAGGAGGTGGGGGAACAAGTAAGGTGAGAAGGTTTAAACTAACACAACAATAAAGATAATGGAATAGATATGATATAGATAAGGAATAGAAATGAAATATGTACTGAGAAAGGGACTGGATGTGGGGGTGAGTGAAAGGCAGGTACTACAATGACTGCCAGCTCTCAGGTTTGGATGTAGTGCCACTTAATAAGATAGGTAACAGAAGAGAAACAGTGTTTTTTTGAAGGTGGATAGGGAGGAAAATAGAAGGATTATCAATCTAGTTTTACTTGAGCTTGAGGTACCAGTGGGAAATATAAGTACACATGTTCTTCTTTTGATGCCAACATAACAGAGATCAATTACACCTGCTCAAACATGTTTCTTGGAGACATATTTTGAAACTTTTTATGTGCTGTGAGGCCCCTTAAAAAGGAAGAAGACTAAATAAGGAGATTGTATGTTGGTCACTATAAAATGGAAAAATATTACTTAATAATATGGAGAAACAGTTCCTAATAATATGTGACCTAAGACCTCATTTCATATACAAATAAAATATGGCAGCATGGGTAACAAGTCCAATCCGCTCTCCATTAAACATAATAAGAGTAAAGCAGACATGTTAAAATAAGATGTACTATTTTTATCTTTTTGAAATTATACCTTGAGTGGTCTTGTATATTACATAGTGAAAACTTTACTGGTAGTAGAGAAGAAAAAAAATTAATGCAATCAATTTTATGTGCAATTTTCCTGCATAGCTGTAATTATTGAACCTTTTTTTCCTTATTATATTGTTAAACATTTTTGTCCTATTTTTCAAACAAGTGGTTATTAGCTATATTAACTTTCTTTAGAAACGTACTAGTTCATTAAAGATGTTTCCTGGCAACCTAAGCACATAAAAACACACACTATGGTACTTAAAAGATTAAACGTGTCTTTTAGATGTATATTATATTCATTCAAACACCATTTAATGACCCAGGAGAACATCTTTGCAGCTGTTCATCCAGGATTTTACGTTGTATTCACGATGCTTTTATTTTGTTTCCATCAAAAGATTCTGCTATGGATCCTACTTGTGAATCCATTCATTCTAAAACACCGAATTGTTAGTCTAACAAGTCTTCAAAGTCATCTTTCTCTCTTCGCACCATCGTCAAGATCTAAAGTTTTTCACTTTCCCTTTTCCCAAGAAAAAAATGAAAACATTAACTCCTGCTCCAACTGCCCCCCGCCCCCCCGCGCCAAACAACCCACCCCAGAAGAGTAACGAAGAGGGGAGGCAAAGTGGAACAAGTTGCGACCGGCGACCGGGAGCACAGAATTAGGACCAAAGTCCGGGCTTGAGACGGAGACCGGGAACCAGTCACCAATGTCCAGAAGGAGCCCGGCAAGATGCCAAAAGAGAACATCCCCAAAGCCTCAGGAGTTGACTCGTGCTAAGAAACCAGCCAAAGAGCGAGTGACAAGCAGAGAAAGAGGCCCGACCCTCTGGGACATCCTGAAACACGCAAGGAATGCGAAAGAAACGTCAGGAATCCGGGACCGGCTACGGCCGGCCGGAGCGCCCAGCCTGGTTAAAACAGCTCAGAAGGGAGGCATGCTGCTGAGACCCTTGAGTGGGGAACGGCGTTCGAGCGGTTGGTGACTGAGCAAGGAAAACTGATTGTTGGGAGCACAAGACCGAGCAGCTCCCAAAAGTTAGAGTCGGTGGGCCACGGTCCAGTACCCGCAGCGAGGCACCCGGAGCAAGTCGGAAGGAGGACCTAGGGGCGGGGCCAGAGCTCCTACCCCGCCTCAAGTACCCTTGCTGAGTCCTCAGTACGCCTGCGTATGGTGAGGCCGCACTCTATTTGGCTGCTAGGCGTGCGGCGGCAGCGGCGTTCTCTACCCGGCATGCTGCGCGGGAGTGACGGCCCTACGTCTATCCCCTTCCCAACCCTGCCCCCTTTCCCCCGCTCCCAACGCGGCCCCCCCTTCCCTAAAGTGAGTGAGTGAGACGGGCAGATGGAGGAGGGACTGTAATGGCGGCGGCCGGCAGCTCCCTGCTCTGACCCACAGCAAGCGTACAGCAACGACCCCCTCCTCGCCCCTCTCCCAGCCGGCCTTCGCCCCGCCGCCAGCGCGGGGCCACCCTCCCCGGCCCTTCCCCCAGCCGTCGGCTTCTCGCCCTGCGCCCCGGCCGGGGCCCCACACACAATGGACGAGCTCGCCGGAGGCGGTGGTGGAGGCCCGGGGATGGCGGCCCCTCCAAGGCAGCAGCAGGGACCTGGGGGGAACATGAGCCTTTCGCCAGGGGGGAATGGAGCGGCGGGCGGCGGGGGTCCTCCAGCCGCCGAGGGAGCGGGTCCCGCGGCAGGCCCGGAGCTGTCCCGGCCGCAGCAGTACACTATCCCGGGGATCCTGCACTACATCCAGCACGAGTGGGCTCGGTTCGAGATGGAGCGGGCGCACTGGGAGGTGGAGCGGGCCGAACTGCAGGTACCTCGCTGGGGTCGGTGTGCGGGACGGCTGCGGCGGCGGGGTTCCCGGCCGGGGGGGTGGGGCCGGGACTCCCCTCTGTCGGAGCTCCGGGCCTTGAGGGCCGCGGGGAACCTACCTGTGCAGCTCGGGGGGGCGATAGTCCTGCCTGCGGTTCTGGCGACGGCTCTTCCGAGAGCCCCCCTCCCCCTTTCCCGCAGAAGCCTGTTCCCCAACCCTTACTAGCTGCGCGGTGCGGGCTTCCTTGGGGCAGCCATTTTGACTTTTAGTATGGCGTCTGCGGGGGCTCCTCTGGAGGCGGCCTGCCGGGCCTCCGGGGCTTGGGGCTAAACTCTCTGTGGGAGCGTCCGGCGTGGGGTTATTGGGTATTAAGCCTGCTTTTGATTGTGCCTGTTGAGATGGAGAGCCCGGGGAGAGGGTCTGGGATGGGCATTTTATTACCTTTTCCCTCATCCCCCCCCCCCCCCCCCGCCATCCGATTTGGCATTTTTGGCCACTTCTCTCGGAGTTGGTACGCACTTGCCCCTTGACAGCCACGCTTCTTTCCAGGGCTGCTACCAAGCATAATATCTTGCTGCTCACTTGTGAAGTTTTCATTTCCTACCGCCAACTTTAAGTACCTTCTTACCTGGGATGCTGCCTTAGTCACTTAGGTTCTCTTTCAGTTCTTCCTAAGCGACTGACTCATCAGTGCTTCTCTAAATTGAATTTTTCTTTTTAGAGTACCCTTCACCGGGCTTCCAGCCCTTTCTTTATCTGTAAAAAGCTAAACCAGAGTATCTGTACTGTGTTTATGAAACGACTGAGGAAAGATTTAATATTAGCTTGAAGTAAAACGTACTTGTCTCACGTTACTGACTCAGGGGAAGCAAAGTTAAATATCTTCAGAACCCTTCATAATTGGGCCTTATTTGATCTTTTTAAGGTGAAACTTTGATAAGCTGATTTACCTAACTTTTGGAAGGTGTTGGTAGTTGAAGAGCTCATATCTTGGATTTCAGAATGGCTACATCTTTTTAAGAGGATTGTTCAACTCTTGGGTATTTGTGTTTATTTTTAAATCCCTTTCCAGGGCAAATTTAGGCTTAGAAGACAAGAGCATGCATCCAAATAGTGTCGCACCTGTTCTTCAGACTGGTATATATTTAGAATGTAAGCAGTAGTGTTCGCTGATATATGTATGTCATATATGCCTACGGTGAGTAGTTGGGAAAATACAGTGTTGCAAGAAGGAAGATTGGATTAACTTAGGATGTCTTCAAACAAATATATACCTTATTTTTAAAAAGATTTTATTTATTTATTTGACAGAGAGAGACACAGCAAGAGAGGGAACGAACACAAGCTCGGGGAGTGGGAGAGGGGGAGAAGCAGGCTTCCTGCGGAGACCATGACCAGAGCCAAAGGCAGTCGCTTAACGACTGAGCCACCAAGGCGCCCCTCAAATATATATACTTTAGTTTAATTTTGAATTAGTAAACTTTTATTTGATTCTACAAAGTTGGTGAAGCTAAACTTTTAAAAAGTAAGGATGTTTATATATCTTGACACTTTAATAAAGTCTTCAAAAAAATTAATTATAAATTATCACCTGTTAAGTCAATTCAGTGTTTTAGAATTGTGCTTTGATACACTATTGGACTTTTATTTAAAAAAAAATTTTTTTTTAAGATTTTATTTATTTATTTGACCGAGAGAGAGAGCGAGAGAGGGAACACAAGCAGGGGGAGTGGGAGACGGAGAAGCAGGCCTCCCGCTGAGCAGGGAGCCCAATGTGGGACTCGATCCCAGGACCCCCGGATCACGACCTGAGCCAAAGGCAGACACTCAACTGCCTGAGCCACCCAGGAGCCCCTATTTTTTTTTTTTTTTTTTTTTTAAATTTATTTGAGAGAGAGAGAGAGAGAAAGAGAGCATGAGCATGGCAGAGGGAGAGGGAGAAGCAGACTCCCCACTGAGCAAGGAGCCCTATGCAGGACTTGATCCCAGGACTCTGGGATCATGACCTGAGCAAAGGCAGGCACTCAACTGCCTGAGCCACCCAGGTGCCCCACCTTTGGACTTTTAAAAATATAACTTTCAGAAAGCTTGTATCAGAATTGTGTATTGTTTCTTTTAACTTGTGTATAGTCTGGTTTAAAATATATGGGATTTATAGAGTTCTGTTGATAAACAACTTTTTACTACACCATGTTGCAAACAATATTCTGTGTGAATGAAGATAGTAAGACAGTTATTTTTAAAAATTGCATTTACACATGCATTGAGTCTTGCACTAAGTAAATAATACCTCACCAGACCCTGGATAATAGTGTTTTATGACCTTTGCACTGCTGTATGATAGCTTGGATTTTAACACTTTGCAGGTTAACAATGCATTAGTCATTTATAAGCTTCATTAATTTAAGTATCTGAGAAAATGTGTCTAAATTAAAATCTGTACATTAATGAGGTCTGCATGTCTGCCTTGGCTCCTTTTTTCCCTTATAGTTCTCCTCTTCTGCCAGTAACAGTGAAATCTTTTAAGGAAGATTCCTTTTGCTTGTTTGCTTTCCAGTTGATCTGCTATTGGCATATTAGTTCTGATAAAGCTCTTCTAAGCTTTTTTTGTTTGCTTATTTTTAACAAGTTCTTCAGTATTTCTAGACTCTTACTTTTTTCCAGGGATTTTCATTATTTCATGCTGATTCTTTGAAATGAAATGTTCATGATTCTGTTTGTATGTTTTCTACATATTTCTCTAAAATATTTTATTGGGGTACTTAGTTAATAGGGTTTCAGGTTTGCTTCTGGAATATTGAATTTGCTTTAGGTACCTTCAGTCTTTAATAAGATTGCTTTGAGATGCACATTTAAAAATAATGTGTCAAGGGGCGCCTGGCTGGCTCAGTTGGTAAAGCATGCGGCTCTTGATCTCCAGGTTGTAAGTTTGAGCCCCACATTGGGTTTAGAGATTACTTAAAAAAATAAAATCTTAAGGAAAATATATGTGTCAAATAAAAAATTTATTAGGGTTTAAGTGAAGTGTCAGTGGATTTTAACTGTAAGCTTAAACTTATTTTTAAGAATGATAACAAATAAGAAAGCTTAAATATTATTGTATACAGCCTTGGGTTACTGTTGATGTGTAGATGAACAGTGACTCAAAAATATTCAATATTAGAACTGTTTAATGAATATGAAGAGGTTAGTGTATACCCAATTTTGATGTAAAATTTCAATATGGAATCCTATTTTCCCTGGCTTTGGAAAGGATTTTGTTTTATTTTTTTATTTTAAGTAGGCTTCACACCCAACTTGGGGCTTGAACTCATGACCCTGAGATCAAGAGTTGCATGCTCTACCAACTAAGCCAGCCAGGTGCCCCTGGAAAGGATTTTAAATTGGAATTTTGCAGTATGGTTCTATTCTCTGTAAAGGAATTTGGGTAAAGGTCTGTCTTAGAAACGTGGAACTAAACCAGAGGATCATGTCTTAATGCACTTTTATCTTCATGATGATAACTTAACCTGGGACTCAGGTAAAGCTTTAGTAGGAAGGCTCTTAGGACAATGATTCCTAAATGAGAATGCTAGTCAGAATCACTTGTAAAACTTTTGAAAATATGCAGGCCTCTGCTCATTCTCCAGAGATTTGGATTAATTTGGTCTAGGAATTGGAAAAAATGGACCGTTTTTGGGATTTTGGCAGTTCACGTTATATAAAAATTATAACTGCCATTTAATCAGCACTACAACCTTATGAGGTAGGTACCATTCCTATTTTACAGATGAGGAGATAAACTTAGGTGAAATAACTTTGCCAAGGTCACTCACCTATGAAGTGTTACAGTTGAGATTCTTGTAACCATTGTATTATATTATTGTCTTACCGTTTTTTACAGAAATGGAATCTGACTTGTAATTCTTTGTCTACCATTATGTGACACACTAGGACGTTTCAGCAAAGTTTTATTGAGCTCCCATTGTGTGCCAGGTCTAGTTTATGTATATTGCAGATATGTCCTTCTATTTTTCTCTGTAGTTGTATGCACTTAGGGTATACACAAAATGCTTGTTTGTCAACTATAAAAATATGGCATAGATATTACATAGAAATGTACAGGGGCGCCTGGGTGGCTCAGTTGGTTAAGCGACTGCCTTCGGCTCAGGTCATGATCCTGGAGTCCCGGGATCGAGTCCCGCATCGGGCTCCCTGCTCGGCAGGGAGCCTGCTTCTGCCTCTGACCCTCCCCCCTCTCATGTGCTCTCTCTCTCTCTCTCTCTCATTCTCTCTGTCTCAAATAAATAAATAAATCTTAAAAAAAAAAAAAAAAGAAATGTACAGGAGTTTGTGTTCTAAAACTATTAATTGAACAAATGTAAAAATTTGAATTAGTGTTTTTTTGTTTGCACACTCTGGCATACTGATTTGTCATAACATGACATGTTGCCACCTAAGGACCTTAAAAGATAATTCGCTTAAGCATAACTTGATTTCTTCATTTTTAAAAGAGGAAAACTAACAGTTTACTCTGCACTGTTACATTTTTCTGAATCTACTGTGAAAATACAAAAGTAAGAACAGTATGGTAATTTTTTGATTTATTTATTAGAGAGAGAGAGAAAACAAGAAGAGGGAGGGTCAGAGGGAGAAGCAGGCTCCCCGCTGTGGGGAGCTTTATGTGGGGTTCAATCCTGGGACTCTGGGACTCAGGATCATGACCTGAGTCGAAGGTAGACACTTAACCAACTGAGCCACCCTCATTGACTGTTTCTTAGAGCAATTTTAGGTTTACAGCAAAATTGAGGGGAAGATACAGACACTTCCCACATAATCTCTCCTCCACCATACCCCTGCTAGTTTGGTGTATTTGTTATAACCAATGAACCAACATTGACCCATTATTATCAACCAGAGCCCATAGTTTACATTAAGGTTCACCTTTTGTATGTTCTTTTTTTTTTTTTTTTTAAGATTTGTTGTTTTTGTTGTTTTTAAAGATTTATTTATTTGAGAGGGAGAGAGAGTGCCCGAGGGAGCTCGAGCACCAGCAGGGGGAGGGGCAGAGGGAGCAGCAGACTTCCCACTGAGCAGGGAGCCCAATGCAGGCTCAACCTGATAGTCTAGGATCATGACCTGAGCCGAAGGCAGATGCTTAACCGACTGAGCCACCCAGGTCCCCCTGTTCTTTGGTTTTTGACAAAAGTATAAGGACTTGTATCTATTTCTATAGTGTACAGAATAGTTTTACTGCCCTGAAAATTCTGTGTTCCACCTTTTTCTTCTTCCCTCTCCCCAAACCCTAGGAAGCTAGTGCTCTTTCACTGTCTTCCATAGTTTTACCTTCTCCAGAATGTCAGATTTCACTTAGCA